CGCGCCTTACTCTCCCTTATGGCCGTTACTCTCCACGTCGCCACCCTCTCCCCTTCCCCTCTCACCCTGAGCACCTGGGTCCAGCGGGTTCTGGAAGAAGGAGACGGGGGTTTCGGCCTTTTCTTCCGGCTTATCCGTACCCGTCAGGGATTTGGGCGGGGGCTCCCGGCCGGCCGGGGGGGAGGTGATGAGTGTGGAGTGGACGGGCACGGGTGCCAGGAGGTGCTGGTTTTCATCCTTACCCGCTTCCTCCACGTCCTGGCCTCTTTCTCTTTGTACCCCTCGCCCCGGCCGTTGGTGTCTCCCGTTCAGGTCGCGGAGTTTTATGGCCGATGCGTACGGTTATTGCAAGGGGGGAAGGAAGCGGGGAATGAGGGGGAGGAAGGAGGCGTGATGGGAAGGGGAGAAGAGGACGGGGCAAGGGGAGACCTTTCTGACAGTCCGGCATGTTGGCACCTTCGTCAACGGGAGCGCGAGGGCCCGGCGAAGGTTTCAGATACCTCAACTCGAACGGAGGGAGGGGCGCGATGCAGCGAGACCCGTCCAAATCAAACTAGGTGCAGGGCAACTGGCGCTCCCAAAGTTAAGGTGCCGGCCAGCGTGATAGCTTGCGAGTCCGAAACCTTCCATCTCCTCCGGGGATTCACCGCATTTCTGCGAGAACGGAACCTCCCTCCTGCCCTCCTCCACTTCCATCAAGATGCGTTGAGGCGGGCGGGTACCTTTTCCATCATATTCCAAATGTTGCAGAGGGCATTCGTGGCAGCGAATGACGCGGGTCAGGAGGCGAAGGAGGGAAGGAGCGAGGGAGAGGGAGAGGAGAGGAGGGGGGTGGAGGAGGTTGGGCACCCAGGGCGGGCTGAATGGAGACGGGAGAGCGCGGGCGACGAAAAAGCGGTCCAGACACGCCTATTGAAGCATTGTCTCGCGCTTGCGACCGCCATGGTGGCGGGGAACGAAACGAATACCCGGATTTTGCAGGAGGTACTCCTGAGGCCTGAAGAGGAGGAAGTACAGGAGGAGGTGGAGGACCAAATGAGGGATGTGGAAGGACATCGTCCGACGCGCTCAATCCTATTCCACGTGTTGAAACGAGGAAGAGGGTTGGAGGAGGAAGAAACGCTTCGCGCATTTTTTGACCTGCTGGTCGCGGGGCCTTTTCCTTCCCCCGGAACCTCCATCCCTAGCCAACCGCTCCTTCCTAGCTCCTCCTTCCTCTCGCGCACCCCTCCGGCGGCGTTCGTCCTCAAGCTCCCCTTCCTCCTTCCCGTCCTCCTCCACCTTCTTCCCCACCTCCACTGCTCTCCCTCCCGCCAGAAACAAGTCCTATTTTTCCTTCTCACCATGGTTTCTGGACCTCGGGCGGATCGGAACGGTCCACTCCTTTCCCTCCTCCTGGATCCCCTCCTCCACCTCCTCCCCTCCCTGACATCCGAGAAAGCCGATGCTCAGGGAATGGCGCTCACTCTCCTCGGGAGAGTAGGGCAATGGCGGCTGACCCCCCGACAGCTGCGCCGAGTTTTCGGCCTTTTCCGTCCTCGCCCGTCCGAGGGCAGGTTGAAGGAGGAAGATAAGGTTGCCCTGGCGGCGCCTCCCGTCCACCTCGGTGATAAAAAGGAAGGTGCGGGGGCCGATGGCAGGGCCCGCGCCACGTCATCGCCTCCTCTTCCTCCTCCTCACTCCTCCTCTCCTCCTCCTTCTTCCTCCCCTGGGGCAGCTGCCTCCACGCGTCGCGTGTCCTCCGGGTATGCGCCAGCCGCGTCCCCGCCCCGGCTGATCAAGGCTCTGGCCAGGATGGTGGTGGAGGACGGGGCAGAGGGGACGGAGGAGTGGGACGGCGGACGCACTCGTGAT